TCCTAAATTTGAGGTCTGGATAATTTGACAGCTGAATTCTGTTTCTCCTCTTTCAATGAATAGGAGTTAAATGTTCTTACTTAACATATGTACATATATAATTGTATTTTTGCAAAATTGCTATAGGTATTATGTCTTTATTTCTGTGAGGGCTATTTAATTGTGGACAAATACATGATATATCTGAATTTTGTTTCTAAAGTCTACTGTTTTCTACAAAGTAATTACACCTAATAGAGTATCTTTCAGTTAATAATATTTACTAACACATATTAATGTATTAGATCCCATGTGGCCTTTAAAAATTCTAGGCTAACAAACCTTTTTTTTTTTTCTTTTTCCTTAATTTTTTTTTTTTATTCTCAATCTCTTGCTGTGGACACAAGTTCTGGGTTCATTTATCTTTGCAGGTTGCCTTCAAGGTAGCCCACATGTCATCAGTTCTGTTTCCTTTTACAGTTTGTCTTGCTTTTCTAGTCCACCACAGGTATTGCAATGTTTCCACTATCAGAGCCCTTTTCCCATCCCTTTCCAGCTGAGTAAGGCTTGAATTGAGTGGGACTCCACTGTAACCTGGGGGCTATTTCACTACAGTACAGGTGCAGACACTTATCTGTGGCTCATTAGCAGGTACCTAAAACTCTGGTCCTGTATGTGCAGAATGTTCCCTTTCTCGACTTGAAATTCAATGACGATGAGGTGGGGCTTGTCAGAGGCCACCAGTACAGCTAATCCTGACAGAACATCTGATTATCTTTAGCAGAGAGACTACAGACGTTTAGGGGCGCCTTCCACAGAAACAAACAGTGATGTTGTTATTAACATCAGACCTATGGAACATAAAGCCAAGGCTAAAGCTCATTCTGGAGCAGATTATAAGGAAAAAAAACCAAAACAACATACAGAAAACCAAACAAAACCCACAACTCCCCAAACCATAGTCTTTGCTCTCCTTTTGTTTGTTTCAAAATGTGAGTAGGCTGCTTTTGTACTTTGAATTATATTATCACATAATATCCTGTGCATTCTCTTTCTCTTTAAATCTGTAACTTCTGTATATTTTTTTCTCTTGCTATTATTTTCTTTTTTCTCTAATTATTGTAATTGCCCAAATACAGAACAAGCCTGCACAGCAGGCAGCCTCTTGCCTTCCCTTGCTCCAGCCTTACATCCTCACTTCCCAAGCCTCATCTGCTTTGGTCTGTTTTGCATTTCTCAGTAGGTGGGAGCCAGGTCCAGTTTAGATGAACAATTCCAGATTCTCTGTAGAAAATGGGGAGCTGCTGCCATACCCAGGAAAAACACATGAGCAGCTGCTCAGTGGCATCTCCACCTTTTGGAGGTGTTCTCCTGTTGCCTGCAGCAAATCCACTGTCACACAGAAACTGCCACTTCTTGAGGTGCAAGCAAGATACTGAGAGTTCCCAAACTGAATGGGAGTATTTGGTAAATTTTGAGGCACCCAGTCTGAGGCTTGAATGTTAAGTGATGTTCATGCATAGAGGGTTTTCTTCCCAAGATAAATTACTTGAAAAGCCTCCTTGTACACAGGAACACGGGTATACTTCAGTGAAATAAGTGTCAGAGATCACAGGGTGAAGTGAGAGCTTGGTAAGACATTTCAGGCTGCCTGCATAGTAAAGGAATGCATGTGTGCTGTTCCTGCTAGAAAAGAAGCCAACATCATGTAAAACCAGCATTTCCATTTGCTTGCCTTAAATCAATGGACTTGAGGTGCTATTCCTTAGAGTCAACACACATGCCAGGAAAAATCTGTTTCCAAGTTGACAGCCCTTTCTCAGAACTGCCCGTAAGTACCAGGGAGGATGGAAAACTGGGCTGCCAGGCTGCAGAGGTGCTTAAGGGAGGAGTTTGCCAGCAAAACAGAGTTTGAAGCACAGAAAGACCTTCGGTTTTCCCAGAGATCTTGCTAAAAATTTCTAATTCATACAATGAGAAACGTAATATCCCAAACCAAGGAATCTAATCATTTTGTCTCTCCTCCTTAGCCAGTCATTTTTAATATGATGATGGAGACTATGTGCATAATGTATTCTCTTCCTGATGCTTTTTGCTTTAATGCTGGATTGAAATACTGCTCTGAGAAGGAATGGGCAGACAAAGCTGGTACATTCTTGTAGTCTGAAGGAACTCTGTGGAGACTAATTTTAATCCAGGAAAATCTTTTTACATAATTAGTGAAGCAGCCTTACAAGCTACTCTCTGAAGATCTCAACAACCTAAAGGATTTTATACACACACCCACAGCCTATACTGTGCTATAAGGTCTACAGAGAAATCTTGTGATTTTTACCCTACTGCCACATTGTACTGCTTTATGGGAAAACTTTGGTAAGGAAGAGGAATTTAAACATGTACTGCTGGGTAGGCAAGCTACTCAGAAATTGCAGGTTAGTTCATCTTTACATTAATAGGAGTCTTAATAAGAAGACACACCATCGCTGCAGACCAAAATTTGGAGACCAGCTCCTGAATCTCATCTAGCCTGTTTGTGGTGACAGGCTTATCCAAACTGTAGTGGCCTCATTATTTCTGTTCTTTCTCTATACACTGTTGTGATACCCGAGGGAAGGCCACACATAGTTGGGAAGGCCACATATGATCATCTCAGCATTAGGGTGTCAATGATGCAGAAGTTTACTCTCACAAAATCAGAGGAGGTATTAATACATTGTAGAATTAGTGATGGGTGAGATGAAAAGTGAGAAAATTGTGTGTTTATAGGAAGAAGCTTGGAAAAGCATATTGCAACCCTTATTTTGTGCAAAAAATGGTATGCAAAATACTCAAAGCACATCTGTGGAGGTATTTTTAAGCCATTTTTGACTTCTGCCAATTACGTTGCAAGGTAGTCTCCATTGTGCAGCTAATGTCTCATCTTGAATGAAAGTTTGTTGACTAGGGGAAATGGCAAAATCCTGTAAACATATAATGCATCTGTAATGAATACCAAATCAGAAAAGTTTGTGTTGATATTAAAAAAAACCAAAAACAACCCCCCCCCCAAAAAACCAGAACCAAACCAGAACTGGACAATTTGGAAGTAAAATTCCAATTCCATTTTATTTCACCTCTCATTTGAAAACTGCAAATGGATAAATACGGAGACTAAATACGGAGACTAAATACTAGACATCAAATATAGAGGGAGAGTAAACCCAATAAGATAGAATTAAAGAGACGTTGGAATCACTTGTTTTTCAGTTAATGTGGGATCCATCATTTCAGATGAAATCCATCTATGAAGAAGAACAGCCAGCAGATCAATCCCTGGCTCTGAGACTGGTGTCACTGGCAGAATTTTGGGGGTTTTGACTATGGGTTGGTTTACACAACAGCAGGCTTCCCGCTGAGATAGGATGTACCTGTCTCAAAGGGGGAAATAGATCTTTGATCACAAGTTAAGGGGTCTCATTGTAAAAGCTTTAAACTGGATTTGAAGGTGGAAGAGGATAAAACCAGGCTTGATAGAGATAAACTTGGGGGCACCACAGGGATGTTTGAGGGATGTTTTTCTGAACAAGTCCTTCAGTCTGTCATCACAGTGAAGGCTGGACATCCATGTGGCAGCAAAGACAGAAGGGTTATTGATGTGTTAGAAACCACAGAAGTGCCTAAAAAAAGTCATGTAGGAATTCTTCTCTGCACAAGGCATTCAAATCAGTTGCTGAGCTAAAGCACATCTGTACCAATACACACAGGATGGGCAACAAACAGGAGCTGGAAGCTATTGCACAGCAGAAAAACTATGATAGTTGCTATCATGGAAACATGATAGATGAATTCTTGACAGATTGAGACCAACTGTTCAGAAAGGCCAAGTGCCAGATTCTGCACTTGAGTCACAGAGACCCATGCAGTGCTACAGGCTGAGGGAAGAGTGGTTGGAAAGATGCCCATTGGAAAAAGACCTGGGGGTGCTGGTCGACAGCAGCTGAACTTGAGCCAGTGTGTGCCCAGGTGGCCAAGAAGGTCAATGGCAGCTGGCCTGTGTCAGCAATAGTGTGGCCAGCAGGACCAGGGCAGTGATTGTCCTTCTGTACTCAGCACTGGCCACATGTTGAACCCTGTGTTCAGTTTTGGGCCCCTCACTACAGAAAAGACATTGAGGCTCTGGAGTGAGTCCAGAGAAGGGAACTGTAGCTGGTGAAGGTCTGGAGCACAAATGTGATAAGGAGCAGCTGAAGGATCTGAGGGTTTTTAGAGAAAAAGAGACTCAGGAAGGTCCTTATTGCTCTCTACAAATACCTGAGAGGAGGCTGTGGCCAGGTGGGAGCCAGTCTCTTATCTCAAGTAACAAGTGATAAGACAAGAGGAAATGGCCTCAAGTCGAAACAGGGGAGGCTTAGATTGGATATTGGGAAAAATTTCTTCAGTAGCAGGGTTGTCAAATATTGGAACAAGCTGTCCAGTGAGATGCTTGTCACCATCCCTGGAGGTATTTAAAAGACTTACAGATGTGGCACTTGGGGTGATAGCTCAGTGGTGAATTTGGCAATGTTAGGTTAACTGTTGGACTTAAGGTCTTTTCAAACCTAAACAATTCTGTGATTCTATTTTGTGCTTCTGTGACTTTAGGTCTCTATTCTTGTGGAATTACACAAAAGATAAATGTCTCTTTTAAACTAAATCCTTAAAACAAAGATACTGCTGAACTGATCTCAAGCAGTACACACAGGCACTGATTTACTTGGGCCATTACCTAAACTACTGAAAATCTTCACACTTTTAGGTCTTGGAATAAAATCCTACTTCGTATCTCTGCCAGTGTGTGCCTGGGATATTTTTGTCCTGTGCCTAGCTGTGTCTGGCTGTCACTAACAGCTTTGTTTATTAAGCACTTAAGTATTACACAAATAATTATAAAAAAAGAGGTATAATAGTTATTTTCCATATCAGTAGTGTGTTAAATCTGCTACACCAAAGAGGCAAAGTTTATTTAACAGAAGGAACAGTATGACTGTAAATCTTGAACTTACTTCTTTCACGAACCACTGGCAAAAGGCTGGGCCAATCCACTCTCTTGCATGAATCCCACAGTCTATCCAGACAGCTTTCTTGTAGGGCCGTGATCTTTTACCTAACTTGAAGTGTGAATATTCACAAAATACCAATAGATCACATCACATTAGTGGAAACACAATAATGAGAAAATAATAGAGTATGAGACAGACTAAACAAACTTGAATTTCCTCATATGAAGGAACACAAATTTTCTGTTTTAAAATGTATGGCCAAGATAATGTTAGGCAGGTATGCCAAGATAATGAGGCTGACTTATGGAAAAAAACTGTAGAAGAAGTGAAATCTGTAAGTTCCTCTTTTATGAGGAATGATTATCACATGGATTAGGGTGAGGAACAATGACACTACACGAATTGCATGATAATGAATCGAATTTTCAGAACTCTTCAATAGGAGATGAAAAGAAAATACATTGAAAGTAAGATTTTTTGCATCTTACTGATACACTCTAATTTGGGATCCTACTCATGTGAATTGAGAGCACACAGCCCTGAAATTTCGCCAGTAGCTAAGAAAGTATTTGTGGCACATGCTGAGAAAGGCTCCACAGTCCTCTGGGATCCCTCTCCAGCATAACTGCTCTTCTAGTTGTCTATAAACAAAGAGCTTTCCAATCCCCTTAAATCCAAATCCTGCTAATTGAACTTTTCCTGTTATCTATCTCCATGCATAACCAATCCAGGTAAATAGGATTTGGCTATTAGTTTTCCAGCTTTTTCCCCTTCTTTTTTCATTACAGATGACATTCAGTGGGATACTTAGATTTTAGCAACTCATCCTTAGGAAACACTGTTAAGCTGTGTCTCTGGTGTATGTGCTATAACATAAATAACAGTGTCTGTCCCCGATTCCAGATTTTAATCTCATTAATGACTACTTAATCTTTACCTTGAGTACATAGAGTGGTCTCCCTTCATAGGATTTTCCAACAGAGAACATATGAACAAGATCTGAATAAGTTCTATTTAGATAATACATCCAGTCCTCAATCTGCAAACACAAAAATAAAATCATTGCTTCAATCTTTGCATTTCTTGGGAAGAATCTGTATTACATTTCTTGAGCTCAACTCTCAGTCCTCTTTCTATTTTTTGATTTTCCTGTGGTTTTTTTTTGGTCTTGTTTGTTTGTTTTTGTTTTCACCATTATTTGGCCTTAACCATTATTTGGCACTCATAGCTCAATAGCCAGAGGCTGGATGCAGCCTTCACATGGGATTTTTTTTTTCCATTTCATTGTTGGTTGTTAAGGGAATTGATATGGGGATGCTAATCCACCATTGCACCTAACTATTAATGGAATGAAGAAAGAAGGTCTGTATTTCTGCCTGCCAGAACACAATGGCAAACAGATTGACATGCAGGACTCACTGCTACCTGCAGTATTTGTTTTACAGGCACCAGATCTTATGGTGCAGCATGCTCCATGCTCAGCCTAGTGACTTTATTTTGGTGCAGACTGAAACTGTATATGTGAGCACGCTAAAATCAACAGGGACTATTTACCCAGCCATCATCCAGGATAGTAGTCCTCATAAATGAGTTTGTATCTAAGTGTTTTTACAGTACCTCCTGTGCAAACACTTAGCACTCATATTGCTTAATTAAATGGCTTAGTTTCAATCACTCATTGAAATCTCTTATTCCACCAGAGTAGATCTTCTCTAAAAACAAAACTCAGATGCTCTGAAAGAAAGTTACATGTAAAGATAAGCCTTGAATACAAATACTATTTTTTTTTTCAAGGAGGTGCCTATTTTTGAAGAAGAAACACTTAGAACACTCCTGAAGATGAACAGGTAACCAGAACTGGTAGAGAGAATGAAACCTTAGCCTTACTAAATAAAACATTGCGGTAGATAAGAGGAACAATATGAATTTTAATGCACCTCTTCCAGGGAGTGGTACACTTCATAGTTATACCCAGAGAGGGACCTTCGATTCCTGTGGGACCTCCCTCCAGTTTGGTTTTCTATTGCTTGCTGTAGGTCTGATATGAGAACCCTAGGTAAGAAAAAGATAGTAGTATTACTGAAACACCAGAAGAACACACAGGCTAAACCAGAACAACAATCACGTTTAGAAGAAATATAGCAGAAGTAAACCATCCTGACTTTACTTCATCTATTACATTTTGACAATAGAATGCTTCAGGCTCACTTGAATATAAGCTGCCAAATAAATATTCCAGTTGCTTTGAAATGTAACAGTGCCTTCAAAACCACAATAAGCTTGTTAAATAACGAAAAAAGAATGATGTAAATAATGTAGCCAATGTGAAGAAGCATCCATTTTCATTTGTTTAAGGAGCAGCATTTACTGTCTCTTTTTATAATCCAATTATTCTACGTGATCATGGATCTTCAAAAAATGATTTCAAATAATTTCAAAAATCTTCTTAAGCTTAGAAAAACATGGACACACTTTGTCTTGGGAGCAGCACGGAACATTACATATAGCTACAAATTGTAGCGGCAAAACAAAAAAAATCAAGAACTTGTTAGGATTATAATTCTGTCTGAAAGAAAAATTTTTAAGTGGGCTTTGTTGTTTACGTTATCTACTCTGCTGTAGTTGTTTGTCAGTTTTGTTAAAATAATCAGGAAAAATATGAAAAATACTAAGTGAAATTTAAATATAGTTGTGTAAAAAGTGAGAGGTTCTTTGCATTGAGCAAAATGCAGAAAGAGTTGTGTAAGCTGAAACTTTCCTGTTTGATGGCAAAAATAAATAATGACAGAAATAAAAAATTATAATATAGAAAATATCTAAAAAGAATTATAATGAAGAAGTTGAAGCATCCATCCATCCCACCAGACAGTGGTAGAAGCTGGGAATGTTGTCACTGGTATCTGTAACAACATTACTGTAAAACTGAGAATCATCCTTGTATGCCTTCTCCTAAAGCATGGCAATGTGCAATCACCATGCCACTAATTCACCATTCCCAAAAAAAGATAGTGACATTCAAACTTTTACATTTTTATAGGCATTAGCTTCCGTGATTGGAAAAAGATAGAAAGAAATGGCATTTACTCTGCTCCTAACTCAGCTGTGAAGCAGATGCCTCAAAGGTAATAGGTCTATCTACATACAGAATCAAAGTAAAGGTTATTCTCATCTTCCAATGCACTAGTGAAGTAGTTGTATAATTAGGAATTACATTGTTCTACATCAGCAACGTTCATTAAGCAAACTAAAGGATTATAGTCTTGACTTGCAAGTTGCTATATATACTGTAAGAGCAGTACTGTAAAGCTGATTAAAAGAGCGATTTTATTCATGTCATTAGGGCATGTAATATTTTTTAAAAATGCTGGATTGCTTTGCAGAATTCTGATTAGTATAAGCACCTACCAGAATCAAGCTCACTCTGTTAACTCATGCATCTGTACTCTAAATGAAATTTGATAATTTTTCTTTACTTTTAAATGACTATGTACTGTGTGTCCTTATAACACAAAGGCTTTTAAGTCCCTCAGGTCTGAATGCAATATAAGTGGCTGCTTTACCAGAAAGCTTACAACCGAGGCATCTTGGTGCAGAGTTTTCCTGATGCCTGGCTTGTTTTCATGGCCATCTTGTCATGAAGTCAAACCCTAACAGAGATAAGCCTGTTTTACAGGCAACTGCTGGTCATTATTAGGGATGCTGAAATGCTTCCTGACTTTGTAAATTTGTCATAATTTATGGAAGCATCACTGCATTGAGCTGGAATATTACCTGGAGTTTGGCTCACACTTTACCAGTTCCAAAAGGGATGTAGAAATTTATCTCCATTGTAGTGTGTGGGGAAAAAAAATATTAAAAAGTTGTGAAAATCAGCCATGTGAAAAAGAGCTGTACAAAATCTGTGGAGCTGTGCTTCAGCTCAAGGTTGTGGTCCCCACCCCAGCTGTGCTGTGGGCATGGCTGTGCTTGGCCAGCCTGCTCCTGCTGCTCCCTGACTCTGGCTGTTACTGCTCTCATGGTGAATCTCCTGGCTCCTGTGGAGTTGCAGATCTCAGGAGGCTTGTCAGGACAAGCACACGCTTATCAAGGCTTTGCAGGGTTTTGCTCCTAATGCCCAAAACAGGCAGCAAGGAGAATAAGAGGGAAAGCAGAGGACAAATCTGGACCCGGTAAAGTGCTGCCCAGTTTCCTTCCAAGTGCACACAACTCGTGTGCCAAAAATCAGAGAGATTTTCCCTGTGGATGATTAATCCAGTGCTGTGCTAGCATTTGTAGCATGTTTTTTGAGGTGAACTGTAGAGGCGTTTTGCTCTGGCAGATCTTGACCTTGCACATTGCTTTGGAACCTAAGCAGAGGTCTTCAAGTACAGAGAGTGTTTACAACACATATAAAATGTCCTTCTGCCATTTCATTAAAGGTGATTACTGTGAGCAGGAACAGCAGCAGACATGAATACAACTGCTGGCTCACAGTAATTAGGGAACATTTTTTTATAAGCACAGGAAAACAATTAGAAAAATCTCCATCCTAGTTCTAAACATAAACAAAACCAAAGCAGTGCTGAACCCACATGAAAGTCACTCTGAACTGCAGCTATAGAGCTTGTGTACTTAATTTCCTTATGTTTGTTTCTGTATTTTTAGAACAGCTAGTTAAGAAGAGAGCATTGTTATAATTAAAATGGGATTCTGATGAGTACTATACATATGTATACATAAATACATCTACAGTATGATTTACACCAACCTTTTTATCACTGAGAAATAAGTATAAATAACCTCATGTAGGTCTTTATTCAGCAAATGTTTGAGAACTCATCAGCTGATTATTCAGATGTTTAGGCATGTCATTGAGAAGGCTTTAAAGACAAGATCATTACTCTTGTCCAGTATATCATATGGATAAATATGGAAGGATAATTATACTCCAAAATTGCCTTGATTTTTTTAAAGTAGTACTGTAAATGATATCTGAACCTAAGTGTGCATTTGTACTGTATGACTTGCATTGGTCACTGGGAATGGAGAATAATAGAAGTAGTTCCTGTATAATTGATTCAGTTTTGCTTCTGCAGTTGCAGCTCACTTGTAAATAAACCTTGCTTGTGCTAAATAAAGAAAGAGGCAAAGCAGGCTGCAGAATTAGTAATTACCAACCCTCTCTTAACAGATGTGATTCCACATACATTGAAAACACTTCAGCTTGACTCCAAAGGAGGACATTTAATTAAAGCTGCCTGCCTGTGGGAGATTTTCTGCTCTGCCATTAAAGCGGTTGTTTTCTTGGCAATGCCTAGCTGTCTGCCAGCCTAATTGCTGTGATGTGGAACGTATTTTTGAGCACACTTGGCGTGGTCGGTGCAGAGCTGCCCTGAAGGCCAGGTGTCTGGAGTGGGGCACGGGAAGTGAAGCTTGAGCTTACGTGTACTGGATGTTTTCTTGCTGGAGGAAGGGCAGCAGGCTCCGCGTCGTGTTCTGCGGTACCCGCGCGTCAGCGACTGCGCCCTCGACGATGTGGAAGGGGCTGCTGGGCTGCCACAAGTCCACCTGTAGTGCAGGAACCAACCTGTAATTCACATGCATTCAGTGTAGGTGGGGAAGTCCAGGAGAAGGGGTGCTTGAGGGTAGGGCAAACCCTCTAGGCATGGTAGAGACAATAAAACTGTATTGGCTGGTCCAGCTCGGCACCTACGCTAATGGAGCAGATTTTGATTGTGTCCAGCTTACCACGACTCTCCCAGGAGATTTGCCAGTGGGAACAGAGAACAGTCTACAGAATATGCCTCCACAAACAGATCAAAACAAAATCTACTTCCAGTTTCATGCACCTCCTCAGACTACTATACATTTCCAATGTATTAGCTCCTATGCAGTCCATGAGTCTTTTTTATTTTGCAAAGCATTTTCTGTGTTCACTAGGGCAGCAAAAAAATACTAAGGAGATATAGAAAGCATAGCACATAGCAGTGTTTGCAAAATGTACTTGAGTTTTATTCTTGATAATAAGCTGATCAGAGGTCAGTAACAGGTCATCAAGACAAAAAATACACAATAATTTTGTTTTAAATGTCAAAATAACAGGATTAAGATAATCAGATTATTACAATCTTATAAAAAAGATAGCTACTGAACAATACCACAATTGTTATTGTGCTATCTCTATCTGCACATACCTAAGGGTTGTTTCTTGTCCATTTTTACTTCCTTTTGTTTCCAAATCTGAAATACACTTGGAAATTTTAGGACAGGATATGGATTTTCGAGAAAGCAAGAAAATTTGTAAATCCCTTTTTTCAAAGGGATTTGAAACTCAGTGTTCTGTACCCTGTAGTAAAATAGTGTCTAGCACATACTCTTCAACAGAGGTGAGGACAGTTCCTCCTCAGCCAGTGTGAGGACACTGCAAAGAACACACGTCAACAAAACTCTTTCCAGAGCTTCTGGATATTCATAGGAGATTACAAAAGGGAGTTTCAGCAACAATCTCTGTATCAACATGACAAATAGTCACGCCAAGATCCACAGACCTTAAAAATATGTTTGTGAGCTGAATGTAAGGAATGAAATTGATACTGACTACATGCCCACGCATTTCTTAAAGAGAATATAAAAAGGATTAATACTTGATACATGTCTTTTGGTTTCTGTCTTGTCTTTTCGGTTTTATTGCAATCATCTCTGCCAGGCTGCATTGATGAAGCTGTTGATACAGCTCACGAGTGTCCACTGCTTTCCAGGTATCTTAAAAGATTTTTATAATCTATACTTTAAAAGCTCCTCACTTCTTTTATGCCACAGAAGCTATTTGTAAATATCAAATGCATTTACTTGGTCTTGCTATGGACCTCATTTGCAAGAGGAGTACAGTCTAGCAACAGGGAGATTACAGGGAGACAGGTTTAGTTCTCACCATTTATCAAATGGCCCTGAGTAAGAATATTCTGATTACTAAGAGGGCATCTAATTCTGAACCTGGCGTTACCTCTTCAAGCAATGGTGTCCTCAGCCCAGTTAATCCAATTAAATGCCTGCTACTTTGGAAGGAGCAGAACTGAAACACAGGGCCAGCCTCTTCTTGTTCTTGCCAAAACCACTCTTTGTTTCATGCTGCCACAATATGGTCTCTGCATCCAAGTCATGGTGGTGGGTGGGTGCAGCATCTTTTGAAGTCTAACACCAGGACTGGCAAAGTTCATGAGGCTTGTGAAGCTGACAGCAGCTATGACAGATGGTCAGTAGAAACCAAAGTCATGAATTAAATGGTGCTAAATGCTGCTTACAAATAAAGATCGTCTCACTGTGCTAACACCCTATGTTTGTTAGTTCATCTGGTCTTCCATATTTTGATAAATTATAGGCACACAGTGAAATTCCCCCCTAATTCAACGTGGGTAATTTCACACATGGTTAGTTAGATATGTGTATTTGACTTTTAAGAGTTATTCCTAAAAATATACATCAGAAAGGGTAATTTTGTTGCTCTTAGAGTAACAGTCTATCAATCAGCTCAGCTTGAGCCATCTTTAAACTAGCAACAGATTGTTGCATACAAGCTAAGAACAGCTGAAGTGAAGTGTCTCCTGGCCAACTGCACACAAAACTGGAAGAGAAAAATACCCCCAACAAATCCCAACTGATATACACCTGAAAAATGTCTTTGTTCTTGATAGTCACTCAGGATTTATTTTGGTGAAACTCTCCATCACCATGGATAGGATAAACCAACCAATATTCACACTATTAGTTATAACATCACCAGACTCTTTAAGTTCTGAGGTATTCTAATTGTTCCTCACATTACTGGCTGTAAGTGAATATCAAAAGAAGAAGCAATCTTCTTCTAGCCAATGAAACCTGTGGCATATTGCCACTATCTTCTTTTGGTGAAAATGCAATATATCACTCCTGGCATTGTCCTGGAACTGAGACAAAAATATCCCATACTTAGAATGCAAATCATTCGATTTCATCTCAGTTCCTTGTTTGGGTAATTTGGCTTCTCTTGACTCCCACTTCTCATTCTCTGCAATGTAAACGCAGCAGTCAGTGCTTCTCTGGGAGATGTTACCTGTGCTGTCCAGAATAGCACTTCAGTCACTGGCTGGATTTTGCCTTATAAAGCATACAACAAGCAGCACGTTTCTCCAACAGACATCTTATATATATTGCAGCTGTCAGCTTGTCCTTGGTGTGACAAGTACATGAAAACTGACAAACAGAAGATGGATTTCAGAGCAAGCATGTTTGGACTGAGCAAGTCCAACTATACTCACTGTCATCTTCAGGACACTTCATCATTGCATCTCCCACGGATACTGAGGGTTTTATTGAAGTCATCACTCTTATTTCAACATCATTCCTCTCACAAATATGCCTTGGATTTCCATGCTGGGCTCTGCTGGTTAGTGAGTGGCAGTGAAACGAATTGCTGTCCTATCCTCTTCACTCTCTGTGTTGTTACCCCCACACACTACACATGAGCCTTTATACAGTATTATGGAGTACCAGTCAGTGCCAAAAGATTTCTATTTGCTGTATGGGTGGTAGGATTTGCTAGGTGGGAGGAAGATTCTCCAGCTACAAAACAAACTGATGCAGAAATCCTACAGAACTCCCTGAGTGTACAGCCAAATATTTGAACCTCAAAATTCACCTGGTATCTTGAGGCTGGAGGAAAAGCAATATTCTTTAGAGCATGTCTGCAAACCTAAATATTCTCATCTCCTTTGCAGAACACTCTTATTTGCCCATCTTTTCCTGTCTTTCAAGCAGCAGGTTGCCTTTAAAAGGTGTTGGGAGGTTTAAAGCCTCTGGATAATAAGCAGAGCCCAGGCAAGATTTTTCAGCATGTTCAGAGTTGGGATCAGGAGACCAATTACTCAGTTCCTGCCACTCAAGTGTGACCATGACTACCTGTTCTCAGAGGCAGTGGTGGCTCCCCAGATGCACAGTGAATGCTCTTTCCCAGAATCTTACTGGAGTTATGAGCATCCTGACTTGCTGTCTATGAGGAAAAAATGGTATGTATGAGCACACAGGCAGGTCTCTTTTTCCAAAGCATTTAAACTCATTATTGCTTTATTTAACAAGGAAAGTGTAAGAGATTATTAATTGTGACAAAATAAAAAGTAGTATTTTTTAGCTGCCTGTTCTTTTTTCAACCTCACTTATCCCACAAAATCCCTGGGGTTCAATTTTTGCTTAGGAAAGCCAGGTTTCTTTGTAGGCAGTTTCTCTTTAAACTGAGCTGTTAAAGACAGCTCAAATAAATCTATCAACTCTTACCTGGAAACCTTCCAAGGTATAGCAACCCTGAACTCATTAGTCATGTCTCTAGGTTTTGGTCAGTACAGTGATGAAAGTCAGCACAAGGCAAAAGGACAAATATTTTAAACAGATTTGGGTGCTTAACTAATAGAATTCAGAATTCCTTCCAAAGTTAAAATTATGCAAATAATTTTCCAAGAATGCAAACACTTTGTTAGTATAATCCTACGTATCACAAATGGTGTACAGAAAGCTCTTTTGCTCTGCCAAGCCAGAAAACAGAACAGGGAATTTTTTATTCACTAGTTCAGTTTTCCTCCAGCTCATTCCATGCCCATAGAAAGGAAGCCCGAGAAGAGTCTCCCTGCTTTTCCCCACAAATACTCTCATGGCTGTATAAATCCCACAGTATTTTTTTAAAATTCAAGTCACTGAAATAAATCCCCAGCTTCTTTAGACCATGGGGTTTAGGCTAGCCTTTGTAATCAAAGCCATCTTCTTGGGCAGTAACCTCCAGTTGTCCCTCACTACCTTTTCATAAGCAGATGTTTAATTTCTTCTTTCATTTAGCTTGAAAGGAAGATGCTTAGTGCTCTCATCAGGTCTGCAATTATGTATCAATCAAAAGAGATGATTGATGTTTGTCATGAAAATAACTAGAATAACTTTGCCATAACTTACACTTAGTATCTGGAGAAAATAGTTTATGATTTATCTGTGTTATTCCCCATGAAGACAGTAATTTTGTTATATGTTTTATTACCTAGCAATTCCAGTTTTTATTCCTACTGAGTTGTGTCCAGCAACACATGTGCCAAAGCTGGCCTTGTCCTTAACATCACTATGAATGGATTTCTTTGAGAAATGCTGTCAACTGTAAAGTTCAGAATATAATTATTGTTATGATGCTGTCATTTGAAATGGCTTGGCGTTTCTGAGTCTCTTGTAAAAGGGACTGTGCAGTCAATAGCGAAAGCGAGGGTACTCTTTGCTCATGGGCTCTTTCAGGAAATGTGGGTTTCCCGTTTATATCCCTGTACTCACGTATAGACACATGAAAACCCTAAGCAGTCATGACAGATATGTTTTCAATTATAAATCCAATAGTAGAAGGCAGAGAGTAGAAGTAGAAATGGCTTTAGTTTTACTGGTGTCATCAGAGGTGAGACTACCTGAGTTTTTATCACATAATATGTGGGAAACACAGTCACTTACATGTATGCACACAAACACTCCTCACATGCATGTGTACAGCTTGCAACAGAATTTTATATTTCTGTTGGCACATCTGAAAAGGAAGAAGCAAGTGAGAATGACTCTGTTCATTCTGACACTGCTGCATAATTACAGCAGCCCTGTGGTTCACCTGGAAAGGGCAGAACTGCTCCTCTCAAATGTCTTCACCCTTGCAAATGTTTTCAGGACCAAGACTGATTTCATCCTCACTTACTCCTGCCAATTAATTGACAGTCCTGACTGCCAATCTGCTTCAGCTGCCCTTTATGTGCTACAAAATGGTCCAGTGGCAATCTAGTGTGGAATTCCCTGTACTTTCCAAAAGGATTTACAAAGTAGTCCCAGTGCAAAGTAATTTAGGTTTCTGATTGAGTGCACTAGACATTTTACCAGCTCTAGCTTTTCAGTATTTATTTGCTTTTCTGTGAGGCTGGTAAGAGTAATTGTGCTAATAAATTGGGAATGATTCATGGGATTGCAACAACCATAACACTGGCAGGAACAGAACGTGAACCATGCACAGCTTGAAGTTTTGAGTTTTGCAAATCTTTGTGGGACTATAACGAAGTAATGTCTTCCCACTCTATTTACACTGGTATAATTTTACACAGGGCTCTACATTGAAAAGAACCTGTAGGCTATTCCTCAAGAGAGTCACTGAGATAAAACTCATACTCAATTATATAGTAATTGAATATCTGTTCTTACAAGTACAGATGCCACTGGGCTAAGTATGTTTGAAAGACATGAAAAGATCTTTAACAGACTCATTAAAAAAATGGCCAAACCCTTCTTTTGTTTATTATTAAGCTATTTATAGCTTGGTTCAAATTGCAGTTGTTGCTGCACTGTGTGGGAAATGGAATAATAAACCCTGGATCTAATTCTGCTCCCACTGGGGGTGTGCTGATGACTTTGTTGAGCTCAGGCTCAGGCGTCCTCAGAGGAAGCAGATTCCTTCCATCTCAGAAAGTCCATGCTTTCTGGGTCTTGTGACAACAATACGTTCATTACCTGAGCTATTCTGTTCTATCTTGTATTTTCCCACTAAAGTTTTTCTGTAACAACATTTTCCTTCTGAGCCTGGCAAGTGGTTTCCAAACATGTATTTTGATATATTGATGAATAACCTCTGTTGTCACCTGATGTTCGTTGTGTATCTGAAATATTCTAATACCTGACTAGAAGCCATGAGCTAGGATAAAATCTAGACTGAAAAATAAAGCATCTGCCTATATAGCTATATTTGCTGTTGTT